CGAGAACAGTTTGGCCATCAACAGCAGAAGCAAGGCAGCCCTGGAAAGCTGACACACCGATGGAGATCTGCAGGTCGCCGTCCCACACTTTGACGAACTCGTTGTTTACTTCAACAGAGGCAGCGACACAATGTGCACGCCCGTCATTGTCTGCATGAAGCAAGTACTGTCCAGGAACGCGGAAATCTGCATCTAACAGCGGCTGCATGTTCACACGCAGTCGCTGCGCCAGCTCGCGGTACGACCACGAGCCAGGCTGTTTCTCAAGATTGGACACAAAGTTGCGCAGTTCACTGGACTGACTGTCTGGTAAGAGATGCGACAGTGCGCAGGGAATGCAGTTGCCGTTCTGTTTCCAGACGGAGGGAAAGTCTACGAGGCGCTCGGTGTTGCGCGCAAGTTTCACAACCGCGTCGCAAAAGAAGTCGTGCTGCTTCTCCTTGATCTGCACGCAGAAGCCGGTCTTCTGTTTGATGTGTTCCTGTAACTCTTGAATGTGCTGTTGGACATCGCCAATGCTGTCTCTGCTAACCCGAAGGCCATCGAAGTGTAGCGACAGGTGCTGCGGCGGATTGGTCATCAGGCGCTCTACCCACGACTGCATAATGTAATCCTCGGCTGCAGTGAGCATGAAGAACATGGTTGACACATCTGGCTGCTTCTTGGAAGAGTCACGTCGACAGTGTTGATGAACATCAGGCAGCACACTGCACGCTAGCCACCTGCAGTAGTACGATGTCCGTTGCACATCTTTGAGGAAATCGTTGGTTGTCCACTTTGGGTCCAATCGCGCGCCATTGAAAGCTTCAATCAAAAGCTGCTTCCCTTCAGACAAACCCAAGCGCAGCTTTTCGGAGCAAACCTGTTCCCGGTGATTTGCCAAGCTCTCCAGTGTGTCCGTGACCACTTTTGGCACTTCCTGGCAAGGAGAAAGCTTTGCCACCAGCTGCTGCATGATCACGAAGCCCGCGTTGCAGATGTCGAGGTCAACGCAGCCCGGAAGCAAGTTAAGTAACAATCTGCGGGAGCATTTCTGCGCTGAATCATTGCAGGCTTGCTTCCTGGTGCGCAAGAGCTGCCCCAAGGTGTTCTTGTACGAGACAGACCGTCTCAACATCTCGGGCTCTTGTTGACGAGGGCTTGCCTCTGGCGCGTCCATTGCAAGCGCGGACGGTCCTGTTTCTGGCTGAAGCGACCGCTGACGCTTGAAAGCTGCTTCGCGCGCAAGGCTTGAACCTGGCCCACGCTTGGCCGGGCAAAGCTTGGTCAGCAAGCTCAAGAAGTCGTCTGCCTTTTCAATACTTTCCAATCTTTTGCTGATCATCTCGCGCTGTCGTGCTTCCAGAGCAGAAGCCGGGCCCTTTCTTGTGAACTTCTTGCACTGCTTGAAGAAGCTCACCATTGTTTTGAAGTTGCGAGCGGAGTTTTGGTCTCTTCCTGCAAGCTTTAGGGCGAGCAGCCACATAACGCTAAACAAGTCCATCGTTTTAAGCAAAGCAACATAACGGAACAAGAGAACTTAAACACCTGTAAAAGGCGGAGCCAAGCGGCTCGTCTCTAAAAGAGCACTGACGTTCCACATCTCCTGCAGCGAAGGTGGGCACCAAAGATCTTTCGCCCGGCAAACGTCTTGGAGTGTTGCGCTTGTTGGCACTGCCGGGAAAAGGCAACCCTTGTATTGCGAGCCAAGGGCGCCAGAATCCTGCAACATTTCCGTTTTCACCATGTCGTCCCACAGCGCTTCTCGGTTTGGAAGCGACTTGAAGGCTGGCATCTTCTTAAACTGGGGTAATGAAATGTGAAACGTCGCCTTGAGGAGGAGCTCATCCCTCAATCCGCGAAACACTTCACCGACTTCGACCCCTAGCCCTGGATTGACAGCGACCGGCGCCGACGTGGCAGGTTGGAGGCCGCAAGCTGCACGCATGACGGTCTCTGTCACACCCATGTCCTCAGCTAGCGCGTAATCTTCGATAATTTTCCTGCATGCCTCCCTGGAGTGCAAGGCCTCGAACGCGTGTTGCTGGCGCAGGGCAGCAGCAACTGCGGGACCACTGACAAGGAACTCGCGCAGCGACGGGTCTGCAAAGAAAATGCCTTGTTGCGCGTCCTCCGCCTCACCGTCATGTCCTTCAGGCCTGTCTACGAATCTTGCTCGCGGTAACCAGACCAGGGACCGCCTCAAGATGGAGTTGAAGTTCTCCTCCGTGACGCCAACGAATTCAAACATCTGGTTGACCTCGAGCCGCTTCCACCCCACCAAGCAGAGCATACGAGTCACAGCACCATACGGCCTGCGCCCAGCGACTCCGTTGGCGGACAGCGTCTTTTTGTACAAATCCTCCCGGACCTTTTTGTGGCCTTGCGGTGCTTCTTGGCCGGTGAGAATACAGCAATGCGCAAACTGCTCAATTTGCTTGCGGAGCTCGTCTTCCTGGAACCAGATGTTAGGGTCGATAAAGGCATGGTTATGAGCGTACATGCCAGACAGGAGTAGACTGTACAAGGACTGCCCAACGCCTCCGGGGCCAACTCCAATGAAGCAACGGTCAATGTTCTCCCCTCTCTTGGCCAACGCCTGCGCAGCCTGGCAGCAGGCAAAAATGTGGTTGTTCTGCCAAAACGTTGTGCTGATGAACTTCTCCAGGCGGACTTTGGCAGTTTCCGCGACAGGGTCCAAAAGAGTGTGCGGCACTCGCACGAAAATGTCATTGTCAGGGCGCCTCTCCACAAACCTGAGGTGCTCCCTGGGGGAAAGATCATAGATGACGGAGCAGTCCGTGTAGCACACCCCAGGAGAGCGCTTCAGCGGAGTGTTGCACCACTCGATGATGTAAGAAAGCAGCTTTCTTTCCTCCAGAAGAGCTTGTTGCAATTGTAGCCCGATTTTGCTCAAAGCCTGGGCCAGGAGAGTTGTCCACGCGGTGCTTGGCTGCTCGTCCTCGCTCTCTGCTTGTCCTGCGTCAGCCGTAGTTGTTGCCTTCTTGTTCTTCTTGGCTGTCTTGGAGTTTGCGTGCGACAGCAGCGCCGTGTCCTGGCAATCGTCGAAGAAAGCAGTGGCGGAGGCCTCTGTATTCACAAGGCTTGCGACAGCCTCAAGCACCTTTTGGTTGGTGCGCTCGGTCTGCGGGGGCATCTTGCGGAAAAGGCCTTCCAGAACAAGTAGAAAATACTTGATGCGGGCGAAAGTTGACTCAGGGGGAATTCCACAGTAAGGCTGGTAGCATCCCGATTCGTGGTATAGATAGCAGAAGCCATTGTGCACACGCATGTGTGTGTCTCCCTCGATGATCCACAGCAATAAAGCAAGCTCCCGAATGAAGATGTCCACCATTCTGATCTTGTACATGGCAAGCGCAGCGCAAACAACCCGCACCTGGAAGTCTGTCCAATGTGGGTACTTCGTTTGCGTGTCCTCGCGCAACTTGCGGCATCTCTCAAGGATTGAGCCGCCGTCCGTGACAAGGTTGGCGTGCGCCGCGGCGAGTGAAGTCGACAACGACTCGTCTAAAGCTGCGAACAATTCTGGAAAACTTGTTGTCGACTGGCATTGCTGAACTGCGCTGTCCGAAGCACCTCCAAGCGCGTCAGCGGACTCACGTAGACGCGTGCTTCTCCGGGCTAATTCGCACTCGACCAAGTCAGAAGGCTTCAGGATTGCGAAGACCTGAGCGTCGGGCAGTTCAACCACAACAGAGGCAAGTTCGTCCTCGACTTCCAACCAACAAAAAGAGCACCACCAGCAGCCCCGCTGCTCGGTCCATTGCCAGATTGTGGATATGCCTCTATATCGAAAAATGTAGACGCCATCCTTGGGCGCAAAGAAAGACATCTAGAGCAGTTAGTTGCACAATAATTTAAGTGTTTAACTGAAACATTGACCCCAAGGCTGAACACGACATGTTCTAAAACAGCACAGTCCTGCATCAGCTCTGCAGGTTCTACCTGGAGCAGCATCATGTCGTAATGCCATAAGTATGCGTTGACAGCTTCCCACTGGCCCGGCGACTCGCGCGTGTTTGGACTAGGGACGCCGCACTTCCGCAGAGCATCAAACAGACTTGCGCAATCCAGGCCGGAGTCGGAGCACAGCGCGTATTCCTGAAAGTTCCAAGTCACGCAGTCATGACGCGAAACGTGGCCCACCATCGCAAGCACTCCCCGGAAAAAGAAATACGGAACCCAAAAAAGAGGACATTTTCGCGAGCTTGCTATGTAAAGGAGCGCGTGGGGCACCACGTCAGGCGGAAGCCATTCCGTGCATTGCAACAAGTCCTTGGCGTTTGTAGTCTGGCGTGCCACAGTAAGCAAGAACCATACTGCGCAATTGTACGCGTTCATGAAAGCGGGCGCCAACGGCTGGCCATTTGCGTTGAAGGGTCGGTACTTGTGTTCACCGCTGTCCTGCGCAACCAAGAAGCCGTGGAGGTTCGACTCTTCCACGGCCGAGTCATCTTGCGGAAGTGACGCGCTGCTATCGCTGCTCGCCCCAGCCACATCTTGGCAGTTGTGGCGGAGCAAGCACATTGCGCACAAACACCATGATTGGCATCGAGCGCACCGGCCACCGTGTTGGCGACAAAACCACGCAGAACACGACGTGCAACACTGGCTCTCAGGCCATTCTAGCAGAGTGTGAGGTTCGCAAGCAGCACATTGAGGCCGAGAGGATGCCAACAATGGGCTGGCCGTGGGTCTAACCCGTGCGTGTTGCGCCCCCAAGTAAAAGAAAAACGCGTAGGAGTGTGCGCGCAGCCCACCCCCGCGCGGCAAGCGCAGCCACGGCGCACGAAGCCCGTCAATCACGATTCGGAACCAGCCAGCTTGCCATTGGATTTGCACATGGTGCTCGGCACTTTGGGCAGGCCGAGGCCCAGCGAGAAAAGAAGGCTGCAGAGGAAGCGTCTGCCCGGACATCAAGTATGCGAGCCGCATATCGTCCGCAAATGGGCGCGTGAGTGAGCACCAGATGGACTGCGCCCCAGGCACATGAGCTGGGCTCATTGCATTTGTGACACCAACAAGCAGCCGTCGCACATCGCCTTGAAAACGACAAGTCCAGTCAGCAAAGCCAAACATAGGCACTTCAGACCATAGAGCGCCGTGCGGGCTGCTGCGCTGCCCGAAGGAGCGACTGGGCCATCCAAACGTCAAACGCTCGTGGAGCTGGTGCAGCAAGTGAAGCTGACTGTAAGAGGTTTCCACGGCGCGCAAAGCTCCCCACGCCTGGAACAGCTGCAACATTGAGCCAGCACGATGATTGCGGGGGCCCTGCAAGCACCATAGATGAAGGATCTCATCCTGCCATGTAGATCTGCTGAAAGCGAGGGCTCCGAAGAGAGAAGCAGCGCCGAGCAAGAAAGACAGGTCAGACGGGTCAGAAACGTGCACAAGAATCAGCTTCAGCACCTCGCAAGGCAACTCCAAAAGCCGCCCGCCTGCTATATCACTGGTGCAGTTGACGCTGCCTTCGCTGGCAATCACTGGAACCGTCATTGCAAGCGAATGGTTCTTCTGCCTCTGCTTTTGCATGATCTCCTGAACATGCGAGCCCAGGTTCGGGACCTTGTCGACAAACGCCTCGGGCCAGTTGTCTGGGTGACAACTGACAATGTACATGGAAGCAACCTGCAAGCCGTAGTACGTCTCTAGAATGTATTTGTAAATGTTCAGCTGCAGGCGGTAATGGTTACCTGCGCAGTCATCCAACGTGTCAAGCGGGCTTTCCATTTTTCCGAAGCGGTTGGAAAATTTTGTGCGCAGCGCTTGCGTTCTTTTCCAATCGAAGAGAGCAAGCTTGCCATCAGCGCCAATGGCCACAAAATCAATGGTGCCGGCAAGTAGTTCCCGCTCAGCAAAAATGGGCCACTCTGTTCTGTAGGCCCGAAGATGCCCCAAGGTGCTCAGAAACTTTAGAAGCATTCGGAACTCCATAGATTGCAAAGGCACGATGCCCCGGTTCAAAAAGACTTCGAAGAGGAGGTGCATGTGTGTGCCTAACTTCGCTGCTTCTGAGGAGTTAGCTTGCCACATGCTTTTGATCTCCGCTTCGCTCAGAGTCAAGTGTGCCATGGCCAGCGTTTTCACACTGCTGGCCGGCATGGATTGGAGCTTTGCGCAAATGAGAGGTTCGTTGCGGGGCTTCTGGGACCATTCAGCGTGCAGCTCGCTTGACAAAGCTTTGAGGCACGCGAGCCCGGTTGTAGACATCTCTTTTTGCAGATATCCAGGCCTCGGCCAGTTGCGGCTGCTGCGCACCTTGTAAGCCATCTTGTCCGCCTCGAAAGGCTTCGCATAGGAATGCACAAGGCCTGTGACAGACCCATCCGTTTGCACGCCGCAAATATAATAAGTGTGTGAGGCCGCGTTAAACTTGAGGCAGCGATCACGATGGTGCGGATTCTTTTCCTCAAGCAGCCTAGGTGTAACTGTGAACTGCGACGGGTTCTGGAGCCAATCGTTTAGTAAAGGCATGACGATGTGTGTGGGCTGTTGGGCCAGCTCAGGCAGAAGAAGTCCTTGCTGGAGTTTGTCTTCCTGCTGGAGAAGCGCGAGCTTCTTGCTGTAAGTGCCAAAGCTGAGCGCGCTGTCGTCCGGAAGCGTTTCGGCCGCAGCGGCCATGGCGGGGCGCTTGTGCAGGCCCTGCTCGACCCTGCGGCGCTTTGGTGGCGCATCTTCAGGCTGCAAGCGGAACACGTTCCATCCGATTGCCCCCCGGAGCCGGAAGTAGGGGATTGGCGTTTCCAGCTCGCGCACATTTCCCAAGCCTAAGGCCCAAGTGACGGCATAAGGCATATGCTCTGCGATCATCTGATGGGAAGAAGAAAGAGCTTGAAACTCTTCCTCGCAGATCTTCTTGCACGTTGCGATGGCGGCGCTGCCGCGGACGCTGCCGTGCAAGCCAAGCCAGACAAACCCAAGCCGGGCAGGCCGTCCCCGCAGCTCCAGTGTCTTGGAGCCGTTGAGGACGCACTCCAGCCAGAAGGGCTGCAGCACCATGACGCGATCACCAACAGCTGGGCTAGGAGGAGAAAAGGCCGCTGCTTCTGCCAGTGTTGCTTCTGGCTCGTCGCAGCCGCCGAAGACTGTTCTGCAATCATCTTCAAGACAAGACCCGGCTGCGTTTTCGGCCACTTCACACACCTTGAACACGCGCGTGAACCGCGCAGCAGCCTGGAAAGACAAAGAAACCTGCTCGTGCACGCGATGGGAGGTGTGGAGAACGGCGCCTTCCCTATAGACACTGACGCCCTGGAAGTGGAAGTCACGATGCACCAGGTATTTACCAGGCGAAGCCATGAAGCTTGTCATGTCGCCGAGGACCGGGACAAGCTTCTTCCTTACTCACACAGCAAATAAAGAAACGCTAACTGGCGCAGAGGGTTAGTTGAGATTATTGCGACAAAGAATCTGGAATGGCGCGAGCATTGTGTTGCCATCTTGAAGAGCAAAGAAGGGGCCGTTTGATTCATACGGAACCTTGAAACCCAAAGCCCTCAAGCTGTCCACGAGGCATACATGCCTGTAAACCACGCTCTCCTTGCGTGCGAAACCCGGCGCGTTCGGGTTGAGCTTGCCTTGCTGCGAGCGCGTCCCAGGCACCCGTGCAAAAAGTGCTGCAACACAAGGTCCTTGCTGCCACGCCACGCTTTGGACGAGCGTCGACCGGGAAAAAACGGCATGCCTGTCGGCAGAGCTACAAACCAAACGCCGAACCGTTTGAGCTTGAGTTCTGCAACATTGGAAGCGTCTAAGGCTCGCCTGCCTCTCCAAGGGCTCCTTAGCATCATGCAGCATAAGGCAACGCGGGTGCAAGTCGCAAGCTTGCAGCTAAGACTCGGCCTTCTTTTGCTTCAGAGGATTCGGAGCCACATGCCTGGCTGCCAGTCAATTTTGAGGCTGTTTAGCGACCGAGGTTTAAATGAAAAACGGCGTTGGACTCACAGACCACCGTAAGCCCCACTATGGCAGTATCATGCTAGAAACGACTTGCCTGCTAAGACTCGCGTTTCACATGGGGGCTGCGGCTGACGAGGCCCGAGGGTTAAGCTCAAGTTAAAGAAGATGGAGACTCACGTAAGTACGTGTCAGATGTCGTGGCCCGCGCCCGCCTCGCGCTGCCAGCCTTCCTCAACCTGAAGGGCGCAAGGCGGTGAATCAAACGTTGTCTGTTTCGCGTCCTCTAGATCATCAACCGCAGAAAAAACTGCGCTCTTGTTTTTGACATGTCTGACGCTTCTTTTACGCGCAGCGGGCTGTGGCGACTTGTCACCACGCGTCTACCAAGTCCCCGGGACGGAAATCAAAGTCAAAGTCGTCCTCGCTATCTAGGGGCCTGGGAGACGGTGGCGGTGAGAAGTCCGCCCTCAAGCGAATGCCAGATGCAAGTGACACATCGGTTTGCGTTGACGCGTCACATCTGCTTGAGCTCTTGAGAGGGCTGCGAAAGAGCCACCATGCCCACGTCAGCCAGATCAGCAGGCAAGTTGCCACAGATGCCCAAAGAACTTCCGACATGGCACGACTGGCTTAACGAATGTAGCTACAGAGCAAAGGGCTGCGGCAAAGAGCAGAGCAAAGGGTTGCAGCAAAAAGGCTTTTGTGGACAGACGGCTTTTGTTGGGAGAAGCATGTAGCAAGCCAATTTCAAGAACTTTGCATCTTGTTGCAAGCATGCAAGCACCTTCTAAGGAAGCACGCGCTCGCGCCTCGTCGGAGCCGTAGCCCGAAGTTGTTGAAAGACTATCATCCTGCGCCGTGGCAGACAGCACATTGAAGATCCTAACTAACACAAGCATATGACAGGTGTCATGGCCCCGTGGCAAGTGCGCCCGCCTCGCGCCGCAAGCTCTCCTCAACCTGAAGGGGGCAAGGCGGGGGCTCAAACGTTGTCTCAACCGAAGTGACTTGAAAACTGCACTCTTGTTTCTGACATGTCTGACGCTTCTTTTATGCGCAGCGGGCTGCGGCGACTTGTCACCACGCGTCTACCAAGTCCCCGGGACGGAAATCAAAGTCAAAGTCGTCCTCGCTATCTAGGGGCCTGGGAGACGGTGGCGGTGAGAAGTCCGCCCTCAAGCGAATACCAGATGCAAGTGACACATCGGTTTGCGTTGACGCGTCACATCTGCTTGAGCTCTTGAGAGGGCTGCGAAAGAGCCACCATGCCCACGTCAGCCAGATCAGCAGGCAAGTTGCCACAGATGCCCAAAGAACTTCCGACATGGCACGACTGGCGCCAAGGGCTGCGGCAAAGAGCAGAGCAAAGGGCTGCGGCAAAAAGGCTTTTGTGGACAGAAGGCTTTTGTTGGGAGGCGTGTGTAGCAAGCCAACTTGCAGAACTTTGTTTACATCTTGTTGCAAGCATGCAAACACCTCCTAGGGAAGCATACGCCCGCGCCTCGTCGGAGCCGTAGCCTGAAGCTGTTGAAAGATAGTCCTGCGCGGCGGCAGACAAAGCGCAAGGGTTAGGCAGCAGTTCAAGAAGATGCTCACAAGCTCACACAGGCATGTGATGGGTGTCGTGACAGGCTGAAGCTGGGTATGCGAGGCGTGTATGCGAGCCTCGTTGACGCTGGAAGAACCATCCTGCACATTAAAGGAATGTGTTGCTTACAAAAGAGTGACAGTTGGCAACACGCTCAGGCGCCTCACGGCGAACCTGCTCCTCCTGCGCGAGGAAACAACACGCGCACGGTGAGAGAGCAAGCGGGCCACGTCACAATCAGTCCTCAAGGAGGTCTGCCCATGCAGTCCTTCCACTCCAAACACGCAAATGGTTCCGCGGGTATTCCGTCACCTGCAGACATGGGAAGCAGCAGAAGCAATCTTACAAAAGTCTTTCAAACGCATTGCTTGACTAGTCCTGGGCAAACTCTGTGGGGAAGTAGAGCGCCATGATAACGTCTTTTGCCTTGCAAACTTGCGAGCGCTGCTTGGAGACAGCTTGAGCGAGGAAAGAAGAGTGCCACACGTTGCCTGGGTGAGGTTGCTCCGAATGATTCTCGAACGCTTGGGCAGCGAAAGTGCTGCGGCGCAAATAATCCGTCGCTTTGCCTTGCCAGCACTGTCATGGAAGCAAGAGAAGGGCAGGGCGCTTCTCAAAGGAGCTGTGGACAAAGGAAGGCTGGAAAGGAGCTTTTTGTTTGTGTAAGGATGAGGAGCCTTGCTTTAAAAGGCAGCCTTTTGTAAGGAGCCCTTATAAGGAGACGTCTATGAGGGAGGCTTGATAAGGAGCCTTGTAAGGAGCCTTTATCAGGAAACGTTCATTCAAAAGGCTTTATATAAACGCTTCATTATAAAGGCTGCTTACAAAGCTCCTTATAAAGCCTTCCAAGTAAACGTCTCCTGACCAACATTTTTCCTTATAAAGGCTAAGGAGCTTTGTAAGGAACCGGAAGAATCGAGAAGGAGCTTTGTAACGAGCCTTAAAAAAGGAGACGTTTAAAAGGCTTGATAAGGAGCCTTGTAAGGAGCCGCTTAAAGGACCTTTTTCGGAAGCCTCATAAAGAGCTTTGTAAGGAGCTCTTTTTTGGAGACGTGTCGTCGGGAGCCCCAGGACCAATGGCCACTTTATCAAGGTCAGCCTGGTGAGCTCCGAAACCGGGCTGGCCAGATTGTGAAAACTTTGAAAACTTTGGAAACTTTGGAAAAAACGTCGAAATCCAAAGTTTTCAAAATCCAGCCACCGAAAATGTTGAAAAAAACGCAGAAATCCAAAGTTTTCGAAATCCGGCCTTTTCAAAGTTTTCAAAAACCGGCCAGCCCGGGGCCCGGAGCTTGCCAGCCTTTACAAGGAGCACTTTTTAAGGAAGCCTTCAAAAGGAGCTTGTGTAAAAATGAGGAGCCTTGCAAGGAGCCTTTAAAAGGCAGCCTTTTGTAAGGAGCCCTAATAAGGAGACGTCTATGAGGGACTGCTTACAAAGCTCCTTATGAAGCCTTCCAAGTAAACGTCTCCTGACCAACATTTTTCCTTATAAAGGCTCCCCTTACACGGGCTTTGTAAGGAGCCTTTACCAGAAGGCTTGATAAGGAGCCTTGTAAGTTAAAGGACCCTCAGAATAAGCTTTGCAAGGAGCTCTTATAAGGAGACGATTTTAAGGCAGGCTAGACGGGACTGAGCAATGGCCACAGGTCAGCCCCAATGGCGAGCTCCGAAACCACGCTGGCCAGATTGTGAAAACTTTGAAAACTTTGGAAACTTTGGAAAAAACGTCGAAATCCAAAGTTTTCAAAATCCGGCCACCGAAAACTTTGAAAACTTTGGAAAAAACGTCGAAATCCAAAGTTTTCAAAATCCGGCCACCGAAAACTTTGAAAACTTTGGAAAAAACGTCGAAATCCAAAGTTTTCAAAATCCGGCCACCGAAAATTTTGAAAACTTTGAAAACTTTGGATTTCGACGTTTTTTCCAAAGTTTTCAAAGTTTTCAAAAACCGGCCAGGAGCTTGCCAGCCTTTACAAGGAGCACTTTTTAAGGAAGCCTTCAAAAGGAGCTTGTGTAAGGATCAGGAGCCTTGCAAGGAGCCTTTAAAAGGCAGCCTTTTGTAAGGAGCCCTTTTAAGGAGACGTCTATGAGGGACTGCTTACAAAGCTCCTTATGAAGCCTTCCAAGTAAACGTCTCCTGACCAACATTTTTCCTTATAAAGGCTAAGGAGCTTCGTAAGGAACCGGAAGAATCGATAAGGAGCTTTGTAACGAGCCTTAAAAAAGGAGACGTTTAAAAGGCTTGATAAGGGGCTTGGCAAGGAGCCTTTACCAGAAGGCTTGATAAGGAGCCTTGTTAAAGGACCCTCAGAAAAAGCCTTGCAAGGAGCTCTTATAAGGAGACGTTTGTAAGGCAGGCTAGAGGAAGCTGTCGTCGGGACTGCGCAATGGCCACTTTATCAAGGCCGCCCCAATGGCCACTTTATCAAGGCCAGCCCCAATGGCCACTTTATCAAGGTCAGCCCCAATGGCGAGCTCCGAAACCAGGCTGGCCAGATTTTGAAAACTTTGAAAACTTTGGAAACTTTGGAAAAAACGTCGAAATCCAAAGTTTTCAAAATCCGGCAACCGAAAACTTTGAAAATTTTGGAAAAAACGTCGAAATCCAAAGTTTTCAAAATCCGGCCACCGAAAACTTTGAAAACTTTGGGAAATCCAAAGTTTTCAAAATCCGGCCACCGAAAATTTGGAAAACTTTGAAAACTTTGGATTTCGACGTTTTTTCCAAAGTTTCCAAAGTTTTCAAAGTTTTCAAAAACCGGCCAGCCCGGGGCCCGGAGCTTGCCAGCCTTTACAAGGAGCACTTTTTAAGGAAGCCTTTAAAAGGACCTTGTGTAAAAATGAGGAGCCTT